AAAAGCCTTCAAAAAAAAAGTCAATGAATCCAGGAGCTGGTTTTTTGAAAAGATCAGCAAAGTAGATAGACCGCTAGCCAGACTAATAAAGAAGAAAAGAGAGAAGAATCAAATAGACGCAATAAAAAATTATAAAGGGGATATCAACACCAATGCCACAGAAATACAAACTACCATCAGAGAATACTACAAACACCTCTATGCAAATAAACTAGAAAATCTAGAAGAAATAGATAAATTCCTAGACACATACACCCTCCCAAGGCTAAACCAGGAAGAAGTCAAATCCCTGAATAGATCAATAACAAGTTCTGAAATTGAGGCAGTATTTAATAGCCTACCAACCAAAAAAACTCCAGGACCAGATGGATTCACAGCCAAATTCTACCAGAGGTACAAAGAGCAGCTGGTACCATTCCTTTTGAAACTATTCCAAACAATACAAAGAGAGGGAATCCTCCATAACTCATTTTATGAGGCTAGCATCCTGATACCAAAACCTGGCAGAGACACAACGAAAAAAGAAAATTTTAAGACAATAACCCTGATGAATACCGATGTGAAAATCCTCAATAAAATACTGGTAAAACAAATCCAGCAGCACATCAAAAAGTTTATTCACCATGATCAAGTCAGCTTCATCCCTGGGATGCAAGGCTGATTCAACATATGCAAATCAATAAACATAATCCATCACATAAACAAAACTAACGGCAAAACCACGATTATCTCAATAGATGCAGAAAAGGCCTTTGACAAAATTCAACAGCACTTCATGCTAAAAATTCTCAATAAACTAGGTATTGATGGAACATATTCTCAAAACAATAAGAGCTATTTATAACAAACCCACAGCCAATATCATCCTGAATGGGCAAAAACTGGAAGCATTCCCTTTGAAAACCGGCACAAGACAATGATGCCCTCTCTCATCACTCCTATTCAACATAGTATTTGAAGTTCTGGTTAGGGCAATCAGGCAAGAGAAAGAAATAAAGGGTATTCAACTAGGAAGTCAAATTGTCTCTGTTTGTAGATGACATGATTGTATATTTAGAAAACCCCACTGTCTCAGTCCAAAATCTCCTTAAAGTGAAAGCAACTTCAGCAAAGTCTCAGGATTTAAAATCAATGTGCAAAAATCACAAGCATTCCTATACACCAATAACAGACAAACAGAGCCAAATCATGAGTGAACTCCCATTCACTATTGCTACAAGGAGAATAAAATACCTAGGAATACAACTTACAAGGGATGTGAAGGAACTCTTCAAAGAGAACTACAAACCACTACTTAAGGAAATAAAAGAAGACACAAACAAATGGAAAAACATTCCATGCTTATGGATAGGGAGAATCAGTATCGTGAAAATGGTGATACTGCCCAAAGTAATTTATAGATTCAATGCTATCCCCATCAAGCTACTATTGACTTTCTTCACAGAACTGGAAAAAACTACTTTAAATTTAATATGGAACCAAAAAAGAGCCTGCATAGCCAAGACAACCCTAAGCAAAAAGAACAAAGTTGGAGGCTTCACTCTCCCTGACTTCAAACTATACTACAAGCTACAGTAACCAAAACAGCATGGTACTGGTACCAAAACAGATACATAGACCAATGGAACAGAACAGAGGCCTCAGAAATAACACCACATATCTACAACCATCTGATCTCTGACAAACATGACAAAAACAAGAAATGGGGAAAGGATTCCCTATTTAATAAATGGTGTTGGGAAAACTGGCTAGCCATATGCAAAAAGCTAAAATCAGATTCTTCCTTGCACCTTATATAAAAATTAAGATGGATTAAAGACATAAACACAAGACCTAAAACCATAAAAACCCTAGAAGAAACCATAGGCAATACCATTCAGGACACAGGCATGGGCAGAGACTTCATGACTCAAACACCAAAAGCAATGGCAACAGAAGCCAAAATTGACAAATGGGATCTAATGAAACTAAAGAGCTTGTGCACAGCAAAAGAAACTATCATCAGAGTGAACAGGCAACCTACAGAATGGGAGAAAATTTCTGCAATCTATCCATCTGACAAAGGGGTAACATCCAGAATCTATAAATAATTTAAACAGATTTACAAGAAAACAACAACCCCATCAAAAAGTGGGTGAAGGAGATGAACAGACACTTCACAAAAGAAGACATTTATGCAGCCAACAAACATATGAAAAAATGTTCATCATCACTGGTCATTAGAGAAATGCAAATCAAAACCACAATGAAATACCGTCTCATGCCAGTTAGAATAGCAATTATTAAAAAGTCAGGAAACAACAGATGCTGGAGAGGATGTGGAGAAATAGGAACACTTTTACATTCTTGGTGGGAGTGTAACTTAGCTCAACTCTTGTGGAAGACAGTGTGGCAATTCCTCAAGGATCTAGAACCAGAAATACCATTTGACCCAGCAATCCCATTACAGGGTATATACCCAAAGTATTATAAATCATGCTACTATAAAGACACATGTACATGTATGTTTGTTGTGGCACTGTTCACAATAGCAAAGACTCGGAACCAACCCAAATGTCCATCAATGATAGACTAGATAAAGAAAATGTGAGACATATATACCATGGAATACTATGCAGCCATAAAAAAGGATGAGTTCATGTCCTTTGCAAGGACATGGATGAAGCTGGAAACCATCATTCTCAGCAAACTAACACAAGAACAGAAAACCAAACACCGTATGTTCTCACTCATAAGTGGGAGTTGAACAATGAGAATACATGGACACAGGGAGGGGAACATCACACACCGGGGGCTGTCAGGGGGTGGGGGAAGGGGGAGGGATAGCATTAGGAGAAATACCTAATGTAGATGATGAGTTGATGGGTACAGCATACCACCATGGCACATGTATACATATGTAACAAACCTGCATGTTCTGCACATGTACCCTAGAATTTAAAGTATAATTTTTTTAAAAAATGGAAAGATTGTTTTAAAAAAAAAAAAAAGCGAAATAATTACATTTGCAGCAACCTAGATGGAATTGGAGACCATATTCTAAGTGAAGTAACTGAGAAATGGAAAATCAAACATCGTACGTTCTCACTCCTGAGTGGAAGCTAAGCTATGAGGATGCAAAGGTGTAAGAATAATACAGTGGACTTTGGGGACTCAGGGAAAAGGGTGAGAGGAGGGTGAGGGATAAAAGACTACACACTGGATACAGTGTACACTGCTTGGGTGACGGGTGCACCAAAATCTTACAAATCACCACTAAAGAACTTAGTCATGTAACCAAATGTCACCTGTTCCCCAGTAACCTATGGAAATTAAAAAAAAAAAAAGAGAAATTTAAAAAAACTTTAAACATTCTACATATATTTTCCCCCAAGAAAAAGCTGGGTGCTATCCTACAAATCAGAGATTTAGGGTTTGGAAAATAAACATTATGACATTTAAAAAATACTACACTATATACACAGTTTTGGAAATTCTTTATGAAATTATCAGAATTTCCACCTGGTTTTCTATATGCAAACTTATTTCTGCCTGTACACCCACATTCAAACTCTTACCTCCACCCCACAGGCAGTTCTAGTCTGAGGTAACAGTTCAGTCGTACCTTTGGGTCTTAGCAATGTCATCCTTGTTTGGTCCACCTTCATCACTGCTTTTGCCTACCACCAAAGGCCTATCAGAAATGGGCATGGCTGACCCACTCTCATCTATTTTAAGCCACAGGATCCCAATAGGACAGAAGACTTTGTCTCCTTGGACCTCATCTCAGGTAGTCTACTCTGACAGTAATGCTCTCATAACCTTTCTCTCAAGGTCATTCTCTATAGCCTGTTACCACGGCTCACTTGATCCAGTGTTTAGTTCTTCCTGACTCTAAATTTAGATCAAGCAATTGTAAAAACCCATGAGGTGGCGCCTCATTAACCTAGGATTCTGAGGTCTTTATTTCATGGACTGTTTGACAGCTTATCTAGATAATAAGAAGGAAAAACACCATAATATTAATAGAACTTGCTATTACTGCTTCATAGGAACAAAGCTGCTCAATGATTCTGGAGCTGAATGGAGCCTGAACTTTATATATAAATACTAACCAACTCAGTAATATCTAGTCTTTTTTTCTTTTTCCTTCCTTCCTTCCTCTCCTTCCTTCCTCTCTCCCTCCCTCCCTCCCCCCCTTCTCCCCTCCCCTCCCTTCCTTTCCCTTCCCTTTCTTTTCCTTTCCTTTCCTTCTTTCTTTTCTTTCTTTCTTTCCAGACGGAGTCTCGCTCTGTCTGCCAGGCTGGAGTGCAGTGGCGCGATCTCAGCTCACTGCAAGCTCTGCCTCCCAGGTTCACGCCATTCTCCTGCCTCAATCTCCAGAGTAGCTGCTACTACAGGCGCCCACCACCATGCCTGGATTTCTTTTGTATTTTTAATAGAGACGGGGTTTCACCATGTTAGCCAGGATGGTCTCAATCTCCTGACCTCATGATCCGCCTGCCTCGGCCTCCCAAAGTGCTGGGATTACAGGCGGGAGTCACCATGCCCAACCCCTTTCTTTCTTTGAAGATGGTGCCACAGACATGCCCCTCTCAGTCTCCTGATTAAAATCCTAATTGTGCTAACATGCTCATTTATCTCAAAACTGAAACCAATTTCTTTTCCCAACTGAGCACGTCTTTGAGTTTAGGGCGTTCTTGCCTTTGCAGATTAGAATTGGGTGGGTTGGTGGTGGTTGTTTTTTGTTTTTGTCAAACAATAAAAAGAAACTGGAAGGGAAAACCCAGCAATATGCTTGATTTTCTATATTCTTGTAAAATAATTTTTTCCTGTGAGTTTACATGTGAAAAGGCAATGAGTATCAATTCTTCATAAGTGACTGAATTACCCTGGGGCAGAGGTTGCAGTGAGCTGAGATTGTGCCACTGCATTCCAGTCTGGGTGACAAAGCAAGACTCTATCTTGAAAAAAAAAAAAAAAAAAAAAGCGATTTAATTAGGAGATGAAATGAACTGCGATAAAATAGGAAAACGTGTTCTTTAATAAACATAAGACATCTTCAAGTCTAAGTAAAATAATAACAACAACAGATTCTACACCACAGTTGTATACACTTCCAGTGAAGCTTTATGCATTCCATTCTGAGCTCCTAGCACCAGGTAAACATGAATCATAGGTGGAAATATGCCATGTTTAGCACTAGAAGCAACATCACAGTTTATTAGCAAAATAAAGCGGAAAATGGTCAGGTAAATAAATATTACAACATATAATGTACTGGTGATGAAGCTGCAATAAAGTAATATAAGTGAGATTTACTTTTCTTTCTTTCTTTTTTTTTTTTTTTTTTTTTTACTGGGAAGGCTAGTTGTAAACATAAACATTCACATTAAACTACTAGCCCCCCAAAACCTAACCTATCTCACAAACAATAATCATCTTTTGACTATAAAATCATAAAACCTTGTACTCCATGGCTCTTTTGTCTCGATGGTTTTTCAGAGGAAAAAATGAGCTGTGATAAGTAGTTTCACAGATTTATCCATCTTGAATAGCTGCCAGTTCCGGAACCTCATACATCCTCAGAACATCTTCATAGAGCAAATAATTATGTAGGCTTCTGGGAAGCGGCAACTCACTAATATAACTGTCAGACCGCAGACGTTCCGATTTTAGACTGGACCGAATTTCCAAACGACAAAGATGGGTCAGGGATGGAATAGTGGCTGGAGAAACAAAAAAAGCAAGGTGAAACTTTTTTTAAACAGAAAGATGTAATAGTACATTAAGGGAAATTCATTTTTTTTTTCTTTTTCCCAACTCTTAGTAATAAAAGTGATATATTGCTTAGAATTACTTTGAAAGAAAACTACTTGGAGTCAGTATGACCACAATAAACCTTATTTATTCTTTTCTACAGCCTTCAACTGGCTCCTCTCCCTTCAGTTGTTGGCCACACATTTAAAGTCAGTATCCAGGGCCGCAAACACTAAATGCTCAAATTCTAAAGATCTGTCAATAACTGCACTTAAGAAATGGATGAACCAACTTTAGAAATGGTAGAAGCTCACGGTAGCAAATGCTACCTTTCTCTTAATCTATTTCATTACAAATGGTTTCCAGACCTATCACATCAAGTGAATAGATGTACAGCTTGCAAGTTTTCCTTTTTAACCGTAACACAGAATGAAAATTTTTAATTGGCTCTGAGAGAAAGGGAGTATTTACTGAGTGCCTTCTATGCAATAAGCCCAAATACTTCACTCAAACTCTTTTTTTAGCTTCATTAACTTCATGAGGTATATATTATCAGGCTATTGTAGAGATTTAAAAAAACAACTTTCCAAAGTCACAGAGCTAGTAAGAAGCAGAGCCAGGATTCAAACTCAGATCTATCTGAACCCAAAGCGTGTGTGTGTGTGTGTGTGTGTGTGTGTGTGTGTGTGTGTGTGTATGTGTGTGTATCTGCAAGGCACTGCAGCCAAAAGCTAATTACCAATTAAAGGACAATCCACGTGCACATAATTAAGAACTGTATGATAGGCCAGGCATGTTGGCTCACGCCTGTAATCCTAATACTTTGGGTAGGCCAGGCGTGATGGCTCACGCCTGTAATCCCAGTATTTTGGGAGGCTGAGGCGGGCAGATCACCTGACGTCAGGAGTTCAAAACCAGCCTGACCAACATGGTGAAACACCGTCTCTACTAAAAATACAAAATTAGCTTGGCGTGGTGGCACATGCCTGTAATAGCAACTACTAGGGAGGCTGAGGCAAAAGAATCACTTGAACCTGGAAGGCGGAGGTTGCAGTGAGCCGAGATCACACCATTGCACTCCAGCCTGGGCAACGAGAGCAAAACTGCGTCTCAAAAAAAAAAAAAAAAAAAAGAAAATCATATGATAGCAGTTTCATTTTCCAAGATGAAAAGTGTTAAATAAAGAAGTTAATGTCTGCTTTTATGTGAATCGGACCTAAAGCCTTTTGTTAGTTCAAGAAATCTTTTATAAATCTCTGTGAAATGTAACAATGATTAACAGACCAGGATCAGAGCATCAAAGACAAGTACTATCAAGAGCACAGCTGATACCAGACCAGCTAGTCTGATTCCAGGTCTAGGGTTCTTTAAACTCTAATACCCAAAGGGCTTGAGACAAATTAATTCTCTAACATCTTCAATATCTTCCAAGCCACAGAAGTTAACTTATCATGATTTTGGTTTACTAGTTTAGGTTTAGTTTATTCAGAATTAAAGAAATCACTCAAACTGGTGTTTTAAAATGCCAAATAAGAAAGCAAAAGTTATCAATTTTGTACATAAAACCTGAGTCTAAGCTGGGCATTTTCTTAAACCATGAGTCATAGATTCCCTATTATAAATAATAAGATTACAGTATCTATAGTATATAGCACATTTATTTCCAACATTTTTCATATCCATATTTTACTTAAATTTGACCCTTTTCTATAAACTTAAAGGAGAAATGATGGTTCTCACATGAAAGATGGGAATACACAGGTAAAGGGGCCACTGGACAAAGTAGCAGGAATACATACGGAAAGCACGCCCAAGCTGCAAACACCACAGTTTTCCCAAGGTTTAAGTAGATTGACTATGTTCAACTATCAAGTATAAGGAAGCCTTCTTAGGAGGATCATGAACAATAATTGGTCAGTTCATAGAAACTCACCTTAAAGCAGGTGACCAAAACACCACACATACTTTAAACATTCTAATTTAAAATGGATACATGAACCACATCTAGAATGTAACATCTTAGGCTTGCAGTTTATTTATGTATTTTTTACTCACCACTATATAAATAAGGACATAGTTTCACTTTCTTTAAGTTACAGCATGGATTTAAACGCATGTATGAAACAAGGTGAGTGCATAATCCTTCCATATTTTCACAGGCATTTCTGCTTTCAGTTGTTGTAGCCACATCTAATTCAATATCTATTTCTGTTCTGTGCTTATCTATATCAAGTCTTTTTAAAGGATTCTACTTTGCCTTAAAAGAAACAATCATTCTCTTTTCACACTCACAATTCATTAGCTTGTGCAATCTGGAATTATTCAACTACAATTGTTGGGAGCAGGCCCCCCAAAATCTGGCCATAAACTGGCCCCAAAACTGGCCATAAACAAAATCTCTGCAGCACTGTGACATGTTCATCATGGTCCTAACGCCCAAGCTGGAAGGTTGTGGGTTTACAGGGATGAGGGCAAGGAACACCTGGCCTGCCCAGGGTGGAAAACCGCTTAAAGGTGTTCTTAAGCCACAAAATATAGCATGAGCAATCTGTGCCTTAAGGACATGCTCCTCCTGCAGATAACTAGCCCAACCTATTCCTTTAATCCGGCCCATCCCTTTGTTTCCCATAAGGAATACTTTTAGTTAATCGAATATCTACAGAAACAATGCTAATTACTGGTTTGCTGTTAATAAATACGTGAGTAAATCTCTGTTCAAGGCTCTCAGCTCTGAAGGCTATGAGACCCCTGATTTCCCACTTCACACCTCTGTATTTCTGTGTGTGTGTCTTTAATTCCTCTAGCGCTGTCGGGTTAGGGTCTCCCTGACCATGCTGGTCTCAGCATACAATAATATGCACAATGTAATAAAAAGTTTCAGAAATAAACGTAACTGCTGTTTGGTAAGCACACACCTCTGCTGGTAGGAACACTGGCATTTAGAGTGTAGCTGGCCAGCTGCAAACACAGAGCATGCCAATAGACACAGTCAGATGGAAATGAAAGAAAACATGACAAGACTGGTTAATCCAGTGTGTGTTTTTAAAGTGAAGTTGGTGAAGAGAATTTCTACTTATATTCAGTTAGAGTTTAATAGGCATCTGTTAAATTGAATCTCTTCATTCTGCACATTCTTAGGAACATGAATACTTACTACACACCCAGAAGAAAGATAAAGGACGGCTGTGCAACCCGGAGGAGAGCTGCTCCTTGGAAATAAGGGATCCTTAATGATGCTCCAGCTTCTCAGAGTGGACAGACTACACTGGCTTAAAATTCTATAGGCTGACTGGGAAGAGTTCCTCCACATGCCCTAACACTTCATGTAGCACTGACCAGCTTGTCTAGGTTACATGACTACATCACTGGGGGTCTATCTTTAAAGCTTAATAAATCATTTGTTTATGCTAATTATGTGTGTAGAAGTTTAACCATGAGTGATCAAGCCACACTAGACCAGTTCGGCGTTTGTTAGGAGAAACTTAAGTGACTTGCCCACTGAGATGTTGCACATCACAACATAGCTGTTGTTAACTAGATCTAAATGATTTGACTCCCAGTCCAGGGTTCTTTAAACTGTGACAAGCTCAATATAATTCTCCAACATCTTCTAAACCACTGAAACTATCATAAATTTCAGAATATCTTTCCATTTAACAATAAAAAAGGAAAAGTATAGCTACTTCAGGTATTGGTTCAACTTTCAATTGCACCATTTTGGTTTTCCTTCTAAGAGCACAACAGATCACTGGCCTAATGAACAATTAGAGGTAAGAACTATGTTCAGCTGAACTGAGGGAGTCTTTCATGTGTAGATTGTTAACACAGACAATAATATGCCTGTCAGTGCCATTTTAGTTTAATATGCCAGTAAATACTAAGAGAATTTTATAACCATATATGCAATATTTCAAAGCGTACAAAATCCCTTTGAAAGTTTTAGTGACGCATAGTATTTCCAGACATGTTGCCACTAGGCTAGAAGATCAAGTCATGCCTTGAATTTATAATACAAAAAGGCCACAGAAACGGTATGTAAAACTTACTTTCATGAAACCTATTAAAACTATATTTTAGTTTGTTGAATAAAACTCCATGTTCTTGGATTATGGCAGTGACTGTAACCTAGAAAATGATGTCTGAAACCATGCCACACTTTTAAGTCACTTTTCTGACCCAATCATTTTTATTCAGTATGTTAAACTTAGTTTATCTATAGATCTAGCAGACAAGTAACATTTAACTTTTAATTCCTATACAGAATTCCTCTATTTTGTTCATTTTGTTATATGTACTGGCAGAACAATCAAGATAGAAGACTACATGTTGTTATATAAAGTTTTGTTAAAATCAAAAGCAGACACAATGATCAAATTAAACATCACAATTCTTAATTCATTATGCTCACAAATGCCAACTTTACTATAGCACAAAACTATATCTATATCATACACACCCACTGTATTTTTACATTCATCTCTAGTCTGTCCTCAGGCCAATGTTCAAATGACCTATTTGCCCGAACTACATTTCTCTGGTTTCTTTGAAATGTTTTGCACATCAAATGTATTTATCTGACTTCTGAGTCATCTACTACCATTTTTATTTTCATCATTAATATATTCTCTTTCTGGTTGGCTTCCATCCTTTTGTTCCCAATTTTTCTTAATTTACTTGTGTTGTCTCTCTCTCTCACTGACTATAACTAAAACCGCTAGAGAAAACACACAAAAGACGACTACTTGAGGACTCTGAAAAATAAGTAGTAGATTAGGACATGAAGTCAAAACAACAGGAATGACCAGTATAGACGAATGACCAGTATAGAGGCAATGAATGGATTCAATGGAAAAGCACCATCTAGTAGTAACACCTGTGCTGGCGCTGACTATTAACTAGCTGTGTGACCTTGGGCAAGTCATCTAAATATTCAGACTTTCAGTTCCCCCTCCACAAAATGAGAATAATG